TAAAACTCTTTATTTTCAATGCACTCGGTCCGTTGTTGCACAATCTTCCTGAAACCCTCATAAAAGAAGATTTTTGGTTGAGCTGCGAGCCAGGAATTCACCGCTTCTTTCACTGTTTTGTCCTAAGGGAAATCTACGACCCCTAATGCCTCTTTGAGTGGAACAAACAAGGGGAAATCCGATGGGGAAAGGTCAGGGCTATACAGTGGATGAGTCAGTACTTTAAAGTTGAGTTTCTGAAACGTTTCAACGGTGTGGGCAGCAGTATGTGGACAAGCATTGTCGTGCAACAACACAACCCCTTTTGACAGAAGTCCTCGACGTTTGCTTCGAATTGTAGGATTCAACTTGTCAGTAAGCATCTCACTGTAACGCGCACTGTTTATTGTTGTGGCACTTTCCTGATAATGTTCCAGTACTACGCCTTGTGAGTAAAAAAAAAAAAAAACTGTGATCATCAGTTTTATTGTGGATGGTTGACTTTTGAACTTTTTCTTGCAGGGCGAATTTAGATGTTTCCATTCTCCATACTCTGCCGTTTCCTCTCCGACTTGTAATGATCGATCCATGTTACGTCACAAGTGAAAATCCTGTTTAAGAATATGTTCCCGACAGTCATGAACCGGGATTGAATCCCGTGTTAAAATTTGTTTAATATGTGAATAACCTTCACATATTATTCATTGTTCAATTATCATGAACTAGGTTGCTCTTGCTGAGCGGTACCTATTTATGTGAATTTGAACCAGATCTTAACGTTGTTGGCAGATGTTCAAGCGCTGTTGCTTATGCAACTGTGTGAGTTGTTTTGGGACCCATCTTGCACATAATATATGAAACTCAATTCTATTTTGGGTAATTTCGTAAGCAGAACCATGACTAATTTGCAGACAATGTGCCATATTAACAATAGTTATTCATCTGTATAACAGAATCAAGTCACGTTCACATTCAATGTTTTCCTCATTTGTGGCCGTAAATGGAAGTCCGGCGCCTTTGTCTTGTGTAACACCCACACGGCCATTTTAAAACGTTTCAATCCATTCGTAGAACACTCCGTTTAGGCAACACAATGTTCCTGTTCTGTACCGATAGTCTTCGATGAATTTCAGTCCCTGGTACATCTTCCGACCATAAAAAAATAGATCACTGAATGTTGCACTTCTTTGGTGCGAACAGATAGCGGAGCATCCATGGTTATCGGCATGACAGCGACAAAGGAACTAACATAGCAGAAACTGTGTAGACATAACAACAATTAAACCACGTAATCTACACTTCACAACAGTACTATCAACACATAAAGTAAAATATAACCACATTCCGGATTATAGTTGACTTACCCTCGTAGCTCATTATGACACTAAAACAAATGAACCCAGATTCTCTCAGGTATTTCCAGTTGCACTTTTACCCATGTTTGTATGGAATACTTCAACACTAATGTTTTTATCTACTAAACTTTGTATACACTTTAGGAGTGAATGTTAATTTTAAAATCAATTTATACTACGTTACAATTTATTACAATCAATAAACTCCGTTTATTTTCAATCCAAGAGATGTGCCATTTTTTATTTCAAATAGAGTGTAAAATTTGGTCTTCGTACCTGCCATACACCTAGATAGTTGTACCATAAACCTGGGTTCAGCTGGCCCGGCTGATAGTACCCTGTAAGGGCTCCTGATCCAGGAATACAGGATGAGCAGCGTTTGTACTCCTTGTTAGGAGCGGCTGCATATGGCGTCTGTTCCTCATGTCAGATGCGGCCATTTCTTTTGGAGCTAAGTCGGCCTGCCACTGAGTAGTGCTCCCAGTCTTAATGACAAAAGCAGACGCATTTTACTTCACCCAATTATGATGGTTGTCAAACAGACACCATCAAGGGTCACAACTTGATACCCTAATATGATTGAGTGGTGATATGAAAGAAGAAGAAGACCTAGATAGTTCTCTGATCCTAAATACCATGTTGGAGGAATTCGGCTAGAGTAGTGGTTCTCAATATACATTCATGGAAAAAACTAAAGAAAGTAGAAAGTGACGTCAATCATCTGTTTTTTTTTTTTTTTTTTTTTAAGGAGACGGAGGCAATTTTGTTCACACTTGTTTATCTTGTGTGTCTTCAATAAAGATAACTGTATATCAAATATCTTTCAGAGTTATTGTTTGAATCCCTGAAAGGTACAACTCCCTCAAAGTTTGTCCATGAGTGTATTTTGGCCCTTTGACCAGTGACATTTGAGTGAAAATTCTCAGATATATATATAGAGATGTTTTTGACAAATACACTTTATTACGTATAAATGAACTACTACCAAAGTTATTTTAAACATTTTTTCTAAACCCTGAATTAAAGACATTAAATATACAGTGTAAAAAATGGTATTCTTTTTTAAAATAAGATTTTGCTTTTAACGCGGACAGGTAAAAATATCCAAGGATCTGTCACGCTGGGTTAAATAACCTTAGTTGAACACTCTTCACAAAATTCAGGATTTTGATCTGTAAGTCAGAAATGAAAGCGAATTTCAAAATTGGTAATTCATTGTGACTGACAATCTATTTTCATAGATTTTTTTTTTGTTGTTGGAATATGATAAATGATCTTGGCTAGATGATTTTCACAAAATCTTCCCAAGTCCTACTATATATAGAGATTTCATATAGTGTGTGTTTCAACCTATAGAAATACTACCATTAACCACTAAAGGGTGGAATATTAGTTATGACATTCAAGAAAACTATTGACATAAAACAGTAGAATTTCATCAAAGTAATTGCATCGAACAATACTCTTCCTCAACAATAATTTATATGTAATTCTACTGTCCTAGAAGTTTATGTCCATAGTTTACCTGAATTTCATTTCTAAGATTCCACCCTTCATTGCACCATATATAAACAGAATCCTCCAATACAGTATTAGAACTCTAAAAGCGGTTCGGGGGATTAAATTGGCGAAACCGCTGAGAGGGTTCACCAATGATGAGTCAAGCCTTCCCACTATTTTCCATCGCAGTAAGGACAGTAGAAAAGTTGGTTTTATTTTAAAAGAACCATTGGTGCTTAATGGTTGTATTTCTTATGTATAGATTGAGTGTTATTGCCTTATATTTAATTGTTTCACACAATCTATGCTCTATTTGCTTTTTTTGTATTTTTATAAAAGATTCTAGATGTAAATATTGGTCGGTGTGCAGATGATCAACTGCCTACGTACAGACGTTGAAAAGGTAAGTCAAATTATTTGTCGGTTTTGGATTTATTTTGTAAATGAACTTATAATAAAGAATAAGAGTAATTTCCTAATGTATTTGTTATATTTGAATTTGTTTTTTTTTTGTATCAGTTTTTCTTTTAGCTCTATCACATTTGGATGTGTTTTGAGTGACAATTTTACTTTTAACTCTGTCACATTTGGATTAGTTTTATGTGATCATTTTAATTTTAACTCAATGTGATATTTGAATTATTTTTGTGTGACAATTTTACTTTTAACTCTGTCACATTTGGATTTGTTATGTGTGATAATTTTTCTTTTAACTCTTGCACATTTGGGTTAATTTTGTGTGACATGTTTCCTTTTAACACTATGAGATTTGGAATAGTTTTAGGTGTCATTTTTCTTGTCAATGAGTGATGTACTCTTTCAGCGGTTTGAATAGTTAGTTAACAAGAAAATTAAAAATATTTTTCAATTATAATCAATAGACGGCATTTTGTTGCAGATTTTCCCCAACATGGTAGAACGGATCAAGGCAACCGCTACTGAAGCAGAGACAAAGGTTTGAACTTTGAATTATCAGTTTTATATATATATATATATATATATATATATATATATATATATATATATATATATATATATATATATATATATATATATATATAAATAGAAATTTATATAAAATTTATAAATTCAATTGCCATCTATTGTTAAAATTTGTAACATATAAATTTACTCGAAATGTGTTTCTTTTCAATAATATCATCAAAAATTATCTCTACAGACCTTACTGCAATGATATAAGTTATTGAATGAGATGGCTTTGTCATTTAAAAGAAACACATTGCCAGTATATTTATATGTTACAAATTTTAAGGAATTTCTATATTTGACTTACAGCAAAAGTTACCTCAGGTGGTTACTCGAGTCCAAATAACTGGGTGACTCTGGCTCCCCCATGTAAGAAAGGTTATAGATACAAAGAGAAATAAACAGTACTTAGTCTCCATATGAATCAAAGAGGATTAATCTCTCCTGGACTTCTCTTTCACTTCTATTTACAAGCTACGTTTGAAAGTATAAAATATGGTGCATGCTTTTCTTCTTGTATGTTCCTTATCTACTTATATTCTCTTCTTGATTCTTTCTTATCCTACATCCTGCATACACTTACAGTAAAAGCAGTCGCTAACTACCCACCTAGATTATCATGGCCTGTACTACGTGTACTAGGGATCATAAAAAAAAACTTCCTTAATACTTCCAGCGCACTTTTTCATTTGAATAGTTTTCATATACATATGTGCACTCCATACATTTTCCGTATACATAAATTTATAATTTAACAAGTGTTTGAGCGTAGCGCAACATTTAAAGGGTTTGATATCAGGTTCAAATCCGGGTAGGATCTCGTTTTTCAATAGAGTTATCTCTTGTATCGATTTTTCGAGACATAATGTCCCAGCGTTTTTACAAGAGCTTGTTGCTTTTTGTTAAAATAATGTGGACATAACTAAAGGCGTGTGAGCATATTTTCGAAACGTAATTTGTGAACAAAACATATAGCGCACTCAGCATGTAGAGGATGGAACCGTTCAACGTTATTGATTTTTTTTTTTTTCAAATAAGAGACGAATCTTTACAACAATTGAACTGAATATCAATGGTAAACCTTTTCAGCGATTTCGTCAATTTGATCCACCAGATCTAAGCTACAACTATTGTATGTTCATTCTGCTTATATAGTCTGTACTTGAAGGTTTATTCTTTAAGAAAATAGCTCAGTTGGGAGAGCATTAGGCTAAAGGTCCCTGGTTCGATCCAGGGTTTCGGTGACTTTTTTTTCTTTGACAAGACACCACTTGAAGGTTTATTCTTGTGATCGTCATTAGCGAAAATATGAAAAGATGATTCTGTAATTGTAGAAAATTCACAAATATTTCTGCTTCAAACACAACTATTCCACTTATAGAACAAGCAAACAAATTAAGACAACATGCTTAAACAAGACACCTAGCGGACTTTATAGGTAGATATGGGAAACTTTCAATGCTTGTTAGAAGAGGTAATAGCTTCGAAGGTGCCCATACTTTATATAAATATATTATTGTTGAATTTATTTCTTCTTGTCAAAATAATACAAGTATTTCCATACTATTCCATAATACTTGTATTTCATTTTCCCTCACTCATGGAACTTTTATTTCATGAAAGAATTTTCTCATTTTACAAATTTTACGTTAGAAACAGGAAAATAAGTGAATCCTAAAATTATTACTGCGTAATTGGTTTTTCTTTATTAAACAGTTGAGTATGTTTCAGGACCTATGTGGAACAGCTCTGGGGAGCTTCGTGAAGGTAAGTTTTTTTTCCTCCATCCTCTCTTTTTTAGAATGCCGATAACAATGAAAATAATTTTTGCCTAGTTTATATTTACATCATTTTTATTTGTTCTAAGGTTTGGTTGTGTGCATTACACATTAGCTTTATATTAACAAAATTCTATATTTCTGACGAGGCCTCAAGCTACACGCCAAATCAACATTGAGAAACCATAATTTGAAACTAATTCAGACGCGTATGATTATTTTTAAAATTAAACAATTTTTTACTGCCTTTACATATGTTATGATAAATTAATGGGAGAGCTTGGCTCATCAGTGATGAATCCTATCAGCGGTTTCGCCAGTTTAATCTACCATACCGCTGTAATATTGCATTTTTCTGTTTTCCTTTTATACCGATACTGAAGCAGTATGTAATATTACAGCGGTATGATAGATTAAACTGGCGAAATCACTGGGAGGGTTCAACACTGATGAGCCAGGCCCTCCCATTAATTTATCATTACGGTAAAGGCGGTAGAAAATTGTTTAATTTTAAAAATAATCATACGCGTCTAGTTTCAATTTCTTATAACAGATGGCGCGCAAATGCACGATAGAGAAGCCAGTTTCACTTCTGTTTCTTGATGTTCCATTCTGTCATGTAAATGTATATATGTCAGTGCCCTATGCAAACACGCATATGTAAATATGTATTTAAAACACGCATGTGTATATAAGAGCTGTTTCAATACAAAATTATGATACATTTTAATGAATATGTTTCACACTTTTAACATTTAGGTTTCTTATTACAGTAGAACCTCCCTTTAGCGGACAGCAGGCTAGCGGACATCTCTCCAACAAAGGACAGTTTTCATTTGCAAAATTACCATTTTTACTATTTAGTACTCCTCCGGTAAGAGGACACCTCTCTCTAAAGGACACTTTGGCTCTGCAATTAGGTATTGTCCTTTACAGGGAGGTTCTACTGTATATAAATCATCACAAAAATACCTCTTCATACCTTGCTACAATGATAGAAAGTATTAGATGAGATAGCGTGGCTCATCAGTGGCGAACCCTCTCAACGGTGTCACAGAACCAATCTCCAGACCTCTAGCAAATCTGCTAACAGTGTCACGGCTAAAAAGCCTTTGCATCAAGGTTTCTAGAAGTAATTTTGTGATGGTTTAATTTGTATGTATAACACCTATTTCATAAAAGACATTCTACTACATTTAATTTGTTTCTTATAGGAGCAAAATCAAAAGTTTGATTTTCTATTGTCGTAACATTTAGCTTTGTTCGGCGTTATAAAGTACATTTCCCATTCACATGCTCTTATTCCTCATTTCATATTTTTATCAGTAATTCTAAAATTTTTGTGCACCTCCTAATGTTATAACTTCGACCTTATTTAGAAGTTAGGAATTTTTAATCTTTTTAGATTCTAGTTGTGTGTGTACTTGGTGCAGGTCATGGCGGAGTGCATTACCAAGACCGAGTCCAGCAAGACTAACAACATCAGTGACATGATGAAGATCGGTAAAGTGAGTACAGTACATGTTCGGTACAACCACATTCTCTGATGTCATGTGGTCGAATCACAAGTTCAATCCACCACGGTACAGTACATGTCCGGTACAACCACATTCTCTGATATCTGGTGTCATGTGGTCGAATCACAAGTTCAATCCACCACGGTACAGTACATGTCCGGTACAACCACATTCTCTGATATCTGTTGTCATGTGGTCGAATCACAAGTTCAATCCACCACGGTACAGTACATGTTCGGTACAACCACATTCTCTGATATCTGGTGTCATGTGGTCGAATCACAAGTTCAATCCACCACGGTACAGTACATGTCCGGTACAACCACATTCTCTGATATCTGGTGTCATGTGGTTGAATCACTAGTTCAATCCACCACGGTACAGTACATGTTCGGTACAACCACATTCTCTGATATCTGGTGTCATGTGGTCGAATCACAAGTTCAATCCACCACGGTACAGTACATGTCCGGTACAACCACATTCTCTGATATCTGGTGTCATGTGGTCGAATCACAAGTTCAATCCACCACGGTACAGTACATGTCCGGTACAACCACATTCTCTGATATCTGGTGTCATGTGGTCGAATCACAAGTTCAATCCACCACGGTACAGTACATGTCCGGTACAACCACATTCTCTGATATCTGGTGTCATGTGGTCGAATCACAAGTTCAATCCACCACGGTACAGTACATGTTCGGTACAATCACATTCTCTGATATCTGGTGTCATGGGTCGAATCACAAATTCAATCCACCACGGTACAGTACATGTCCGGTACAACCACATTCTCTGATATCTGGTGTCATGGGGTCGAATAACAAGTTCAATCCACCACGGTACAGTACATGTCCGGTACAACCACATTCTCTGATATCTGGTGTCATGTGGTCGAATCACAAGTTCAATCCACCACGGTACAGTACATGTCCGGTACAACCACATTCTCTGATATCTGGTGTCATGTGGTCGAATCACAAGTTCAATCCACCACGGTACAGTACATGTCCGGTACAACCACATTCTCTGATATCTGGTGTCATGTGGTCGAATCACAAGTTCAATCCACCACGGTACAGTACATGTCCGGTACAACCACATTCTCTGATATCTGGTGTCATGTGGTCGAATCACAAGTTCAATCCACCACGGTACAGTACATGTCGGTACAACCACATTCTCTGATATCTGGTGTCATGTGGTCGAATCACAAGTTCAATCCACCACGGTACAGTACATGTCCGGTACAACCACATTCTCTGATATCTGGTGTCATGTGGTCGAATCACAAGTTCAATCCACCACGGTACAGTATATGTCGGGTACAACCACATTCTCTGATATCTGGTGTCATGTGGTCGAATCACAAGTTCAATCCACCACGGTACAGTACATGTCCGGTACAACCACATTCTCTGATATCTGGTGTCATGTGGTCGAATCACAAGTTCAATCCACCACGGTACAGTACATGTCCGGTACAACCACATTCTCTGATATCTGGTGTCATGTGGTCGAATCACAAGTTCAATCCACCACGGTACAGTACATGTCCGGTACAACCACATTCTCTGATATCTGGTGTCATGTGGTCGAATCACAAGTTCAATCCACCACGGTACAGTACATGTCCGGTACAACCACATTCTCTGATATCTGGTGTCATGTGGTCGAATCACAAGTTCAATCCACCACGGTACAGTACATGTCCGGTACAACCACATTCTCTGATATCTGGTGTCATGTGGTCGAATCACAAGTTCAATCCACCACGGTACAGTACATGTCCGGTACAACCACATTCTCTGATATCTGGTGTCATGTGGTCGAATCACAAGTTCAATCCACCACGGTACAGTACATGTCCGGTACAACCACATTCTCTGATATCTGGTGTCATGTGGTCGAATTACAAGTTCAATCCACCACGGTACAGTACATGTCCGGTACAACCACATTCTCTGATATCTGGTGTCATGTGGTCGAATCACAAGTTCAATCCACCACGGTACAGTACATGTCCGGTACAACCACATTCTCTGATATCTGGTGTCATGTGGTCGAATCACAAGTTCAATCCACCACGGTACAGTACATGTCCGGTACAACCACATTCTCTGATATCTGGTGTCATGTGGTCGAATCACAAGTTCAATCCACCACGGTACAGTACATGTCCGGTACAACCACATTCTCTGATATCTGGTGTCATGTGGTCGAATCACAAGTTCAATCCACCACGGTACAGTACATGTCCGGTACAACCACATTCTCTGATATCTGGTGTCATGTGGTCGAATCACAAGTTCAATCCACCACGGTACAGTACATGTCCGGTACAACCACATTCTCTGATATCTGGTGTCATGTGGTCGAATCACAAGTTCAATCACCACGGTACAGTACATGTCCGGTACAACCACATTCTCTGATATCTGGTGTCATGTGGTCGAATCACAAGTTCAATCCACCACGGTACAGTACATGTCCGGTACAACCACATTCTCTGATATCTGGTGTCATGTGGTCGAATCACAAGTTCAATCCACCACGGTACAGTACATGTCCGGTACAACCACATTCTCTGATATCTGGTGTCATGTGGTCGAATCACAAGTTCAATCCACCACGGTACAGTACATGTCCGGTACAACCACATTCTCTGATATCTGGTGTCATGTGGTCGAATCACAAGTTCAATCCACCACGGTACAGTACATGTCCGGTACAACCACATTCTCTGATATCTGGTGTCATGTGGTCGAATCACAAGTTCTATCCACCACGGTACAGTACATGTCCGGTACAACCACATTCTCTGATATCTGGTGTCATGTGGTCGAATCACAAGTTCAATCCACCACGGTACAGTACATGTCCGGTACAACCACATTCTCTGATATCTGGTGTCATGTGGTTCGAATCACAAGTTCAATCCACCACGGTAC